TTATTTATATATATATATATATATGTTCATAAAGGGCACATCTTGGATTCAATAAATAATCTTTTATTTCCGATATTTCAATGGGCTAAACGGCCATCTTTTTCAAGGATCTCATCCCCTCTCGCGGCAAGCCGCGCATTACACTTGAGACACGGGCGTCTCACAATCTCTTCGGGCGAAAATCATCCAAATGAAAATGTAATGTATACAAATAAATATCGTACAATACTAATTAAATTTTCGCCCGAAGAGATTGTGAGACGCCCGTGTCTCAAGTGTAATGCGCGGCTTGCCGCGAGAGGGGATGAGATCCTTGAAAAAGATGGCCGTTTAGCCCATTGAAATATCGGAAATAAAAGATTATTTATTGAATCCAAGATGTGCCCTTTATGAACAAATATAACAATATGGATTGCTCTATTTAAAAAAAAAATATATATATATATATATATATATTAACACAAAGCAACAACGCGCCATCTATACATATAAAATGGAAGGATTTAAAAGCACGAATGTTTCTTTTATAGTTTATAAGTTTGTCTTATGTATAAAAGAAACATTCGTGCTTTTAAATCCTTTCATTATTTATATATATTAAAAATAAAAAAGGCATCTCCTGACCACGAGCACATTATCTCTATAAAATATGTAAACGATATAGGGCTAGTTTTGGAAGGAGTCAGTGTTCTATGGTCAACCTGAAATATGAAATTCAGTTTGATAATACGTAGATTTCATATTTGTCTCACATAGGTTTCCACAATTTTGTCCTTTATATAATTTCTCTTACAACACCTGACCCACTTATCTTTTTTTTTTCTGTTGTTTTATATATATATATATATCATTTTCCTTTATTTTCTTGTTTTCGTATTACAACCTGTTGAAGGACGTTATTGTACGAAAGCTTGCCAAGATTATATCGTTCGAATAAATAATATTGTCGCCTTTAGATATAAATAACGAATAAACCCTCTTAGATACTAAATAATTATATAATTAGTTCATATCTAACGGCGTTTATTATAAGTCGTTATATGTACCCCTATAGAAGGGAAAAGATGCCTGAAAGCTTGATATTAAATTAATGAAACTAAAAAGAAACTCATCTCTTCATAAATCTGTTGTATTATTTCAATTTATATCCAAGAGGCATAAATCGAGTATATTACCTTTATGTAAATATGAAAATCAATGTGCGCTTATTTGCATGTTCATCATACATTTCTACTATATTTCACCTCTCTAGATGCAACTTTGAAAATGTATAGAGTGTCAGGAGATACTTACTGTCTCAATTCCGACGGCAAAATTTGCTAATCACACCAATATCATTAGAGTGGTTGTTAATAATCATGCTAAAATATGATTTTTATAGCTCTAATATAATCTGATCCATCCCCGATATCATCTCTCTTCATTTGTTTTTGGATTTGCCTGTTGAAGAACAGGTTTTGCTCGGA